AAATCTATAACAATCTTATAATTTCAATTAAGGATCTGGTACTACTTTATTCAAAATTTTACAGTTTTCTAACATGCTGCATCAAGTAAAATTTTAAGTTTTACTTGAAGTTGAAAGAACAAACTATTGAAATTGAACCAAACATTTTTAAATCGTCTGTCAGATCATTAGGAGGATCATAAATAAATCAATACAATGTTCTCTGTTCAACCTAGTGTTAAACCAAATGCATATAAAGAATTTCTAGAGTATTTCTGTGTGGATTTCAGCGCAAGAAGTTGTATATGTGGCCTTTCACGAGTTTGTGGAACAGCATTTCAGCAAAATTGTTTTTCCATTATTTTTTGATCTATGTTGTTTAATACTTCTTTTCGCCAAACAAGTAAGTTCCATGTTCAGACAACCCTATTATGAGAAATTAGTGATGTTAAAAAAGACACAAATGTCTGTGATCATTCAATTGCAGTAAGTGCCATAATACTTTATAAGGAGATGATAGACATAGAGAGGGAGATATAGAGAGAGGGAGAAGGAGAGATAGAGAGAGAGGGAGAGATAGAGAGGGAGGGAGGGAGATGGTGAGGGAGAGGGGAAAGAGAGAGGGGAGAGGGAGAGGGAGAGGGAGAGAGAGAGATAGCGAGAGCGAGAGAGGGAGGGAAATTGTAATATTGTAATTGCATTATGGCACCATGTTATCACTTAAAGTACAGTACTTAAAATGTTAGCATTTTATGGTATTAATAATGGAGGAAATTATTTATAATATACATGAATGATGGAGTTCTTAGTTACAACTTTTTAGTTAATATGTATTTTATTTGCTAAAACAGGTGGTTCATATAGATATAATATGTGAAACTCTAATTGGTTACTTCACATTTCTTGGTCAACATAGAATGTATGTTGTTGCTGCAGTTGCATCAATGGGACTTCTCAGTGTAATTCCTTATTTTCTTTTTGTGAGTATTTTACTAACAATTTATGTGTAGAGTTCTTTTGAAATTTCTAATAATTTAAGTTTATTATTATTCTTTTTCAATATTTACTCTTAAATTTTGCTTTGCTTTTGTAATACTGCTGTAATTTAATATTTGATCTCCATTAAACTGATTATTTATTTTCATAAGTAAAAACATCACACTCCTTTGAAGAACTTACAAATAATACTACATGAATTAAAATCCCAACTCATCAATTGCATACATATTTGAATTGGATGACATCAGTCACAATATTGTAAGAGGCTATGTCAACACGTTCCCTCATTTTCACAGCTATATTTCTATAAAGTTTGTAGAATAAACCCTGGGAACACTTGTATAATTCATGATCACTCAAGGTATGTTTTGATGCAACCATTATCACTTGCAACAGGTTCTGTAACATGTAAAGTCTTTAATAAACCTTGCACCTACTCTTAAATTTCATGTTCAAATTTTATTAGATGTGAAATTCAATGAGAAATATCTACGTCTTTGTAATTACACTGAGGAAAATTTATTTGCATAGAAGATCAAGAAAGCACACATTATTGTTACAGTACTCCCTGGTGCAAGAACCATTAACCCGCCTTCCATACCAGGAACATTTAGAATGAACCATGCAGGTGTACACATAGAGATACCATGGAGTGGTGTACACAAAAAAGAAAGAAAGGTTTTGCCATTCTTTGTAAGTCAGAAATATTTGGGCAAAAAATATAATGAAGATGCTCCCAATGTGGTGGGTCAACGTAGGGCTACTCCCAGAAACCTACATTTTCATATGTAATGAAGAGGAGCAGAATAAGTGCATTGCTTCCAACTTCTTCTAACTAAATGATATCTCTGTCATCAAATTTATGGCGTGGTTTTCAAAATTTAATGTCATAGTAGAGAATTGAATTTATGAGTACCTATGTCATTATTTTATTTTTCTAATTAAGGTTCTATGTGCTTCTAGTTAACTTCAATAAATTAATTTACAAAATTGTCTGCTTCAACCAAAATAATGTGGAGGTTCACACTTTGCATCACTCCCCAAATTTTACATGCCAGACACTAATAATAAGAAACAATTCTGGGCCTTGATAATTGTTACCAGGAAAAGATGATACAGCCATTTTTTTTTAATAAAGGAGTGAGTGCTTTATTTTGGTAAAAATGTCTTTGGATCTCATTTTATTAATTGTAAACAATTTTGTTATTGAACTACTAAACACAAGATTTTTACAAAAAAAATATTTCCTGGAATGTTATCTGGATTCAATTAAGTCACTGGAAGAAGTTAATAAAGATCTTTGTTAATTTGCATTTTATAGAAGAACCAACATTCCTTGGATTGGATAAGATAAAATATTATTCCTAAAACAGACATACCATAGCTAAACAGTAATGTTTCAGAGCAAAATGGTACATTTCATGCAAGCTATAAAATGCATTAGTACTGAGTTTTAGTTCCTTGTCAAGTGTTGGTATTCGTTAAACCACTTGTGTTAAAAAGCAGAAACAGTCACTCTCAATCTCACAGCTTAATTTGACAATATGACGAAAAAGATGGGCAGTGCCAGCCCTTGATTTATAATTCGAATAATTTTAAAATTATTTCAATAGAAATAAAACTGTATATATGTGCTCAAATTTGTATCAGAGTTCAGTATATATTTATAACAATGAAGGCTTCATAATCTGTACACTTTCTAATAACCTCAAAATTTCAAATGTTAAGGTGTCAAAGAAATGTACATTTTATCAGGTTCAAAATATTCAGTTCCAGAAGACAAATATCACAAATAAATTCTTGCACTAATGAGTAAAGAAACTACTGTACTAATAGTGTTATCATAAGTATTTGAATTAAAAAGTAGAACAAATTTTAAAGTGAAAGTGAATCAGGATCTTTAATAATCAAGATCTATTTTATGAACTAAGATTTGATTCTGACTGATTTTTGGATAAGTGAAGAGAAATCCTAGAATAGAAATACAATGAGAAATCACCAGAAAATGGCTTGTTATGTCAATTTGAGATACTAGGTGGATAGAAAAATGTTGGATGTTAACACATTATATCTGGTGAGAAGCATTCAGAAAAAATCCATAAGTAATTAGAGAGACATTTCACTTAAAATATGCTGTAATTTGCTCAAAAATTGCTTGGAAGTGATTTCAGAATTGACATATTCAGGTCATAATTTAAGGTGACCTGTTGTCACCTGTAGATTCTAAGAGCAGCGACCTGAACGTGTTAACTTCAATATTATAGCATTATGCTCAAAGACCAAACTTTTATGAGTGTACTTTTAATTTAAAACCAAACTTCTTTTAGTGATTAACTTTCTTGAGCCTTACGTCAGAACCACAGACAGCTAAATTTAAGGCTGAGGAAACACAGGCAAACTGGTAAACACATGGAAAACAACTATTGCAACTGGTGGGCATGTAGAAGATACAACTTCTTTCCAGTGAGTGTGTCACAGCTTTTGCCTTTTCCCTCATCCAAGTCTTCACTTCTTTCTGTGCACTCCTTCCAACTAACTGGATGTCATCACTTTGCATTCAGCATCTTTACAAGTTTTCCTTGGTCTTCCTCTTTTTCTTCTTTCAGCTGTTGTCCAGTATGATATTTTCAACAGCCATCACACTTCTTCCATTCTTCTTAGGTGTCTATACCACATCAGTCTCTTGTACTTTATTCTATCAATTATATCTCTACTTACACTCATTTTGTGTTTTATTTCTTCATTTGGAGATCCTGTAACTTCTCCGAAGAGCAACTATTTCTAAAACTTGTAATTTGTTGCAATGACTTTTATTTACTTTCCATGTCTCACTATTATATAGGGCATTTCATAATTGCTTCATAAACATTTTCTTATTCCTTTTTTTAATGTTTTTTTAAAAAATTTGTTGCGTCTCTACACGCAACACGTCTCCTAGCTCCTAAGAGCGTTGAGCGCACATTGGAGTTATCCTCCGTTAATTACTTCCATGCAATACCTTTATTACACAGGGAGCACCCTCTAGGGACCGCTGGGTAGTCAAGTCACGTAGGTCGCGGACAAGTCAGGGCATCGCCGACAGGTCGCGTCGGAACCTCAGTGAAAGACGCGACTTCGCCATTGAGCCACGAGAGACCTTCAGCCACCATAGCCCATTCAGTTTCTCAACTGCCCTGTGTACTTGATGTATTCGCATTCCACATGGCCTAACATTTGGTCTTTGTATTGAAAAAAGCACCAGTTTTTAAAATCATGGTATGCTTTGATCATGCATACTTTTACACATTTTCAATTTTCTCACAAATCTTTAGCCACATCTCATTCTTTACTAAAATTACTTATTTTTTTTACCTCAGATCTTTTCGGTTATACAGAATGTAATCCTACTAAATTTGTGGATTTCCATCCTACCTAGTACTTCAAAAGCTGCTTTATGGATACCCTGATTCTGCCACTCATACTGTTCATTTGCTATACTCTCGTGTCCTCCTTGAACTTTCTCAGGAAGTCTAAGCTTGTGTAAGAAGCTAATTGGCCCAACCTTTAATAGATCAATATTATTTCCACGAAAATATCTCTGATATTATTTCACCTCCTTGCACTTGTTGGTAGTTGGTTTGAAGTAGTTCAAGAATAGTTGAGAACAGAGAAGGAGGTGATCAGAGCCACATTCTGCTCCCTAAATTAGCATAAACAGATATCTCTGCCTTAATATTATACAATTGGTAATCAACTGTATAATCAATCTATTATTATCTATAATTATAGATTGCAGACTCTTTGTTGTTTGGAATCATGTATATCTATGGAATCTCCTGTTTCAGTAGAATCCATTATAGTGAATAACTGTTGCATTATCCAAAAATACTTATACATTAGAAGTCGTAATTACTAGTTCAATTGTGTTATGGTTATTGCAGTATTTATAGTTTGATAGATTTTTAACCTTTCAGGAAGATATGGCATTTCAAACAGTGGATACAGTCTATGAATTTGGAAGCTTGATCATAATTGGGATTGAAATGATAGGTGTCATGTACATTTACTCATATACCCTTTTTTGTGATGATATTCATTTTACTTTCGGATCCCAACCTGCAAAAATATGGAAGATGGCTTGGTTACTTCTTCCTTTTGTTCAAATAGTAAGTTCAATGCAGATAGTTAGATACATATTCAATATTTCATCAACTAAATAATGCATTTTTTTGTTGTAGATTGGTTTAATAGTGTACAGTGCCAATACCAAAATCTCTGTAATAGAGCAAGTTATGTTAACCATTTCATTATCTCCATTAGCTATTGGGGCATTATATAGACTTATTCAAGGAATTAAAGCTAAGGTAAGATTAATGTTAATTGGATTGTTGGTGAAGTAGATTTTTATTATGATAAATAAATAAAGATATTGTCAGGTATCAATATTTTAATTCAACTTATGATATTTACAACCACAGTCTCAAACTTTGTCGGACACCTAAATTTTAAACAAAGAACACAATTTGATAAACAATAAATTTCCGAAATCTGGAAAGATTGAGAACAGATACTTGAACAGAATAAAATTAAGAAGCCTAACATACACAACGCGCTCCAAAAAACAGAACATGACATGTCTTAAACCAACAAATCCTGATCTCTTCACTCTGCTAAATTAGCCCAAAGTGTACACTAACCTCCCGCAGCCCTCATCACTACTTCGCTCGCGACCGTCTCTCAAGCATCCCCAGCACCCCCTTCCGCGTTTTTACGACCGCTTCACCGCACCCACCCTTCCCGCCCCCATCCCGTGCCGACGCGGCTGTGCTCTTAAACAAGACACACGGTATCAATCTCGAAGAAACTATAGATATTCTAGTACCCCAGATCATCTCTCTCGCGGTTATGTATCATTTTCCTAGTTTGTCGCTCTATCTCTATTTTTGTTTGTATGATCTGCCAGATCAATGATGTTGATAGATAATAGTGTATATTTCACACAATTTTAGCTCTGAAGATAATCGCTAACGGACGATCGAAATGATCATAAGTTGAATTAAAATATTGATACCTGACAATATCTTTATTTATTTATCGTAAGATTAATGTTTATACCACTGAAATATAATTAATTACAGTTCATTAGTATAATAATAATAATAATAGCCTAATTACTTTTCCAACTAATTAACTATTAGAAGCAAAGGCAAAAATGTTAGAAGAACAATTAGAAAATTTTCAATTTTTAAATTGTATTTAAATTATTCTTTTGCATGCTTTGATTTTACAGAATGTTTTAGGACTCTTCATGGCAGAAGAGGCTTGGGGAATGAGAAACTTTTTGCAACGTAAATTAAGACATATGTATAATCCAAGAGAAGAAACACATTCCCAGGCTAGAGATACAAGGTGCAAACATGACTGTCTTTTAGATTCTGAAATTCTAAACAGCATAGTCAGAGAAGAAATTGAATCAACACACTTAAAAATAGTCCCAAGAGATGGACATCCTTTTGAAGGTATGATGAGTTTTCAATTTTCAATTAATTGGGATAATGTGGTAAATGCAAGTGACAAAAGCTGTACCAAAACACACTATCAGAGGGGGGAGAACTCAAGGGATATCAACCACTCCCAGCAGCCAATGTTGCATACTCAACAATATAGAATCTACTAATTTTCTCCCCTACAAAACTCATTCGATATATCATCAAACGAAGCGTTCACGATAATTAGGGCAAATCCCAACCCATCTGCATAGTACTGCTAGAAGTACGAGAGGAAACCCATCGTTATTGTTTCAACTATCGCAAAGTAACAGAGAAAGTATCAATAATCAGGGCCGGATGCAGACACGAATTTTGGGATGGGAAATTCAAAAGGTTTTGGTCGAATGAGTCGTATTGCAGATTTTGTAAAATGTCCCAGGCTAAACTTATCCCATGCTGGGATACGGTCTTATTCTTTTTAATGACTATCCGACAATATTTCTACTTGGAAGTTTCCTGACAAGTTAAAATGAACAGTTACTGGAAAAAAAAATGAGGGGTGGGGGTCCCTTATTTTTCTTGGAGGAGCCTGAAGTAATTAATCTTTCTTACAATGGAACTCGTCTTCAGCTTAAAAGAGGGTGTCTTTGGGTTGGGCCGCCCGTAATGCGGCCTCGCGAGACCGAACATTACGCCACTATTTTTATACAACATTTTCCAAATTAGCATTATTGATATTCCTGGCAAGAAAATGATACAAAAATATAATAATTAAATATATTGATATATTCACCAAAACTACTCAGTTGTTATGTGCATTACTCTTCATTCCCATATATTATTCTGCAAAGCGAAATCATCTCTTCGTTTTTACATTTAACTCAATTAAAGACCGCAATTTAAAAAAAGGTTTTAAATAAATTGTAAAAGATTAATTTCTAAGCAAAAGCTCGAATGTAAGAAACGAACAAAGAAATATGCAATAATATACAAATTCTAGCTTGCGAAGCATTCTGATGTGATTTCCTTTATTACCAGAAAGCAGCGCAGTCAATTGCGAGCGGCCTACTCGTATTATGTTTGTCACGAAATTACACAAAAAATTCAACACTTATTTTAAGATCTGTTTTTGATGAATACATTTCATTAAGAAAAAACGTATCTTCACAATATTGTAGTTGTACGAAAAAGCCGGACAATTTTTAATTTTTCACGCAAAACTACGCAAAAATAATCAAATTTTCGAAAAATTGTACATGTTCTTATTTCAAAATCTATCTTCGAGAAATAAATTTTATTAAGGGAAAATATATATGTCTTCATAATTGTAGTTGTAGGAAGATAGAGAAAATTTTGTTGAATTTCTTCAATTTTAGAAAAATCAGTTTCCCATTACAATGAGACTCGCTCTATTCTTCTCAATGTCCTTTACACTGTCCATGAACAAAATTTAATTAAAAACGAGGGACTCATTTTTCTTGAAAATTTTGAAAATGTCCCAGGGGCTTCATGTAAAGCCCCCCCAAAAAACCCAACTAAAATACTGATTTCAAATTATAGGAGCAGCCTCATCCGTCAGATCGATCGGCAAATATAAATTTTGGAGCAAATTGGCTGAATGGTTTAGCCGCGAGAGTTGTTCACAAACGGAAAGACGTTTTGCCGTCAATCGACTTTTCAGTTTCAAGAACCCACAAAACATTAATTCTTGCTACACCACGTGTTGGAGGATTTTACTTTCCCGTATACATACGTATATACGGACTAATATACGTAGTGTAGCGAAAGTTAAGTAATTCTACGGAAAATCGATTTCGAGAAAGTTTTGTAATGCTACGCGAAAAAACAGTGAATTTTCGGCAGAAAAACTTCCTAGAGGTTCCTGGTAATGAAAATATGGATAAATCCAGTTGCTAAATTTATAAAAATTCCAGTGGCGCTACAGAATGGCATAAACTTTACCGCATTCGTTTTCTATTTTCTTCGGACTCAGCTAGCTATTCGTTGAGTTTTCGAAAAACTTTATATGACATTATATAAAGCACACGAAATCATAAATACAATATTTTGGACATATTGCCGTTAATGTAACAACGTGAAAGACAAGTTAAAAAATTACATTTTTTAATTAAAAAAAAAGAATAGACCAACATGGCGTTTAAAAACGGTTAAAATGTGGAGCCATTTTGGAGAAAATCTTGTTTCTGTAATTTTGTAAATATTGCACGCAATATTGATCGAAAACTACTGAAACTTAAAAAAAAATGTACATGACCTTAATGAAAGAACTAATTATTGACAACAAATTGTACGTGAAGGAAAAACTTATATCAACAATTTAGTAGTTGTAGGAAGACGCGGAAAAAATCAAACTTTTGCAATTTTCGAAAATTTAGAGTTAACCGTGAAAATAATCGGACCTAACCGGTGCCACGTTTATGGATGTATTTCACTCTCTTCTTACAATAAAGTTAATGGAAAAATTTGAAGCCGTTTTTAAGAAAATTCTGAAAATGTCCGGGGGTTTCATGTGAAGTACTCCCAAATTTTAAAGATTCTTTGTTCAAAATCTCAAAGCTTTGACTCGAGCAGATAGGGGTTTCTCCAATTTGGACAAAATCATGGCTTATGCGCTGGTAGTGTTCACAGTCAAACGGACGGACGGACGGACGGTCGGGCAGACTGACAGACGAATGGTTAAAAAAAAGAAAACGGGTTTCCTTAAAGGGGACCCCAAAATGTGTATTTTCATCGAAATCTCGAAATCGATTTTCCGCAGCGTTACATAACTTTTCCTACACTACGTACATAACTCCGTATACAAACAAGGCGATTCAATCCTAGTTGTTACATATACAGGACCCCATGATAGAGTACACTAAAGTTATTCATGAGTGCAAAAAGAAATAGTGTATATCCTATTCAAAAGTTTGAAAAAAACAATCATTTCTTGTTTTTTAGTCATATTTTGCAAAAAAAAAAAAAAGTAGTCCAAATATTACATTAAATAGTGTTTCCTGTTGCTATTATTGCCTACTTATCTAAAGGGCCGGCTGTAAATTAAATAACGCGAAAGAGGGGGAGGGGGTCTGTGTTACATAGGGGTATTCCATTAGTGTTAGGTAACATTGAATTTTTTTTACATTTTTTAACATTTGTTGAAATATTTCCATTTTTGTCACAAAAACATGAACATATTATCTAATTAAGTTTTTTAAAAACAAAATTATTTTAAGTTATTAGAAGTTGTTACTGAGTGAATAAAATGAATACTTTTTTTACTGAACTATAATTTATTTTCACATCGGGGGTGGTTGCTGATTCAAGGGTTACGTAATTATTAAAGGGGGTGTCAATCGCGCATTACGATTGCATTACGGGGGGGAGAGGGAGTATTCAAAATACTCCAAATTTGCGTTAGAAATTTATGGACGGCCTCTAACGAATGTGAAAGGAGACAGAAAAAAAATTAGCATTTAAGTATTATTTCGGACAGTTAATCATATTTTCATGTACACTAAAAATTTCGCATTTTCACTTCGTGTAACAGGGGCTCTACAAGTTTTCAAAATGGCTTCCTCTTTCGTGGCGCAAGGTTGACCGCGCCGCACGGCCCCGAGACGCGCACAACTTCGCAGGGTTATGCCTTTATTTCTACAGCCACGCTTTCAATGCGCCGAAGATCACCCCATACCTCGACGTCGGTAGCATAAACTCGGGCTTTCATTAACCCCCAGCTTCAAAAGCTACAGGAATACCTAAGTTTTAAAATTTAGATACTAAACGACTCTTTTGTGCTGCACCCGCTGGGAAACGAAAAGTCAATCTCTCTACATGAATTGTTCCAGTCGAGGGATTGTGATGCATTGCCATGTGCTCACCTCCGGGACTTATTGGGGCAATTGAGTTAGCCATAGAACTGCCGAGCCCTGACGCTCACTTGCCGTGGCCCGTGTTATACGAGCACAAGCGCATAGTCCAAAGTTTAACGTTAATTATTTACCAAAAAAATTAATATTTTTTAATATTTTACATATTTTATTTAATATTGCGCGAAAAGTACTACAATGTTCAGAAAATGTACATGTCTTTAATGAAAGAACTAAATAAGAACAACAAATTTCATATGAAGGAAACATGTCTACAATTTTGTAGTTGTAGGAACACGCCAAAAAATTTCAAACTTTTGAAATTTTTGAAAATTTAGTGTTAACAGTGAAAAACGCTATTTCATCTTTATAGGTTATTTTACTCTATTCTTTCGAAAAATTGTGCATGACCTTATTTCACTACCTTTACGGAACAGATTTTATTAGGAAAAAATATCTATCTTTAATATTTTAGTTGTAGGAATACGCAGAAAAAATTTTGAATTTTTTTAATCATTGAAAAATCAGGGTTTTCTACGGACGTGAGACCCGCGCAATTCTTTTAAACGTCCTTCACACAATCCAATAACAAACTTGAATTAAAAACGTTTGAGCCATTTTTTTGAAAATGTCCCAGGGACTACATGTAAAGTTCACCCCAAACTAGTAAAATATTGGTTTGAAATTCAATGGGCGGAGACATCAGCCAGATCGGTTGGGGAATACCAATTTTGGAGAAAATCGGCTGAACGGCTTAGCCGCTAGCGTTGTTCACGGACAGACATGCGTACGGACGGATAGACGTTTTGCCTTCAATTTTTCGATAGATTCAAGCATGATGCAAACTTGTTGAAATTGTTGCTATAGCAACGCATGATGGCAAATATTATTCAGATATAGATAGTGTTTCAAAACGCATCACAGACTAACACGCGTCAAAAAAGGAATATTCTAGTTTATCTTAGCTCGTTGGATCTGTGTCATTTCGTAGCGCAAGAGGCACTTTTAAGCTAAGAGTTAATCTTAGTTGCACTGTTTCTCTGTGAAGGAATGGAAAGTCTTAGTATGCTTTGGACTATTCAGTGAATACTATTCGCGGCCGACTGGTAGATTGTAAATTAATTTTTTTATTAGAAGATATTTTGAAACATTAATCTAATTTAGAATTATCCCTCAATTCTAATTAATTGTTGCAACTTACCGTTCGAAATAACAATCACATTCGTTTTCATTTTGGTACTCATTTTTTTTATTTCGTGCCATTTATTCACGTATGTTGGTATCCTGAGTGACAATAATTATTCTTTGTAACAAATGAAAAATGAATATACTTATTTGGTAAATAATACTGGGACATTCGATGACGTTATTTGTCTGGTGCCGTGGTCTCCTCGTTAACGAGTTAGTATAGGTTATGAGCATGATACAGTTCCTTTGATTAATTTTGAGAATCTGTTTTTGCGTTCCAGACTTACTGTCTCTGAATTACTTCAGTGAAGACGATTTGCTTTCTAAACACTCACAAAAGCTTAAAACTTAATTGAATCGGATCCAAACAACTCTGTAATCATGGCAAATCAAAACTCGTCGTTTCAGCCGGTGGGTACCTTTATGTACAATGTATATTAAACGAGGCATTTTTAATATTTTTCCTGTTATTGTTATTGCAGGATTCAGATGTGCACATTACATATGAAGATCAGCAAAAAATCAACAAATTTGCTAGGCATAATGCGCGTTTGGACGATTTGAAAGAGGAATTGAAAGGGAAGCAGGCATGTGACCTTATTAATTGTATTTCTTAATGAGTATATGATTATACACAATCATTTTTATCCTATGTTAAATGCATTCCAGAATGAATATAAAAATCTAGAAGAGGCATCAGAAGAACTTATCTTGATGGATGACGATAGTGATGAAAAAATTCCATACTTCATGGGTGAAGTATTTGTATATCAGGACTTGGAAAACACTCAGGTAGATATGTTGATGATTAATATATCAGGACTTGAGTTTCTTTCCTTCATGTGAGAAAACAACAGTGTGCTCAATGCTGATCAGAACAATTGTGGAACTATGATTGCCATTACATTAGGCTGGCTTGACCTCGAATTATAAATTGAGGCTTGCTGTCTTTGAAGTGTCCTGTGAAAATGAAATAGTACTTCTAACTTCTCAACACTATTTAGAAAACAGAAACTTTTTAAAAATCTTTATTTAGAGGTTAACCATTAATGAAGTAGAAAATCCTTAAATAAGTTAATACCCTTTTATTTGCAGTTAAATTGAAACCTAAATATGTTCTTAAAATCAAAAATTATTAATAATAATACATTAGAATGCTTCAATCTTAATTATAGACTACACATCTCATTAGTCTCATATAAAATACATATTTATAAACTCTTGAAACTATATTTTGACATGGTGTTTGGAATTGGTTATATGATGTTTTGAGGTGTAGTTAACCTCCTCCTCAGGCTGCACGAAAACGCATACATTACACGATACATGATTCACATATCATTAGCACATTAATAATATAAACAAGAAATACATGTTAGTAAAAATCCTAATATATGATATCTAATCACCCACATGATCTAATATAACATATCAATATACATTCTTTTCATTTATACAAATATATTCTTCGAACACGGGTACTCGGGTCATATATGTAAACTTCATTCTGTACCTCATGCTTTGTATTAATTATATGGATGGATAATTTAATTATGAAATTTACTACTTTTATTTTTATTATTACGTTGTTCTTTAACACACTCGCTTAACCTTCTACATCTTTAACTCGCGTAGCTCTTGTCTTGTCTATATCTCGCAGGGAATTTTATAGACCACAGGCTAAAACAAAGAATTTTCCTGATTATCTTTGTGCAAACTGTTCACATAAAACTAACTTGAGGTCAAAGTTTTTAAAATTTGATTTAGGAAATATTGGATATCTTAAAATCAAAAAATAAGATCTGAGATTTAGCATTCCGTAATTCCTCTGGATTCAAAACCGTGAGAACTTGTTGGCAGCTTGGCTCCAAACATGAATTCATAATTATTAAGAATTCATGGTCATGCTTAAGTGTAAATAGTTACCTACATTTGTTATAAGGAATTAAATGAACAATTTCATGAAAAATAAAAACTGGTGATGAAATGTATTTTTACATCATTTCTTAAATTTATTGGTTATAAATAAAATGAAAACATAATTTGATTAGGATTTGTATGCTTGTTATATCTGTTGCTTCAATTGGTGTCTTTGTCTTTAAAATTCTGCTCCTGGTAATGATTAGCATACAGAAAAAAAATTACAGTAAACAGTAAGTTTGAGTACGTGTGTACGTTCTCATTAATTTCCAGTTGATCATTTTTAAAGGTCATCTCATGTTTTGTTACAAGTAAACAATACTTTTTTGCATTTTGGTTGTAAGATCATTATTGAAGGTAACAGGAAGTTGATACAAATATTTGATTTTGTTGTTGAAATGCTAATGATTGAAACTAATCTTCATTTTGCAGAAAACTGTTGAAGATGCTAAAACAAAAATACTTGATGAAATAAAAACTTTGGAAACGAGAAGCAGTGATATTCGAAGTGTGATGAGCGATTTGAAAACACAGCTTTATGGAAAATTTGGAAACCATATTAATCTCGAAGCAGAAGAAGACTAATTCAGATCTCCAATCTATTTCTACATGCAAATAAAGCTTTGAAACAAAATGAAGTGCTTCATCAGTTCTTGCTTCTATTAATTCAATAATTGGACAATTGTTGTTATGATTGACATTGCAGATGAATGTTAATTCATTTTCACCTAGGACACTGAATTACTTGAATTATGACATCATTTGAAATGCTGCCATACAAAGTACTCAGTCTATTTTTTATACTTGTATTGTGTTTCATTAATTGATGAGCTTTACTTAATTTTATTGTTACTATATTCAATTAATTCTGTTAACTTCCCTAATAACTGTGTGTATTTGCTAGAAAATATAAGTCATAATTTTAAACCAGTACGTTTTTCTACCTTTTGTGTGTTCTCTCTTCCGCATTGACATATAGACTGTCAGAGCAGGCAAGAGAACACATGAACTATGGCGGTTGTGTCTTAACAGATCCAACTGATTTAACAATTTCCACACTCCTGGATTTTCCAGTTATATCGATTGACATGTTTCCAGAGATATCACAGTTGCTGTAATTGATAAATTATAATTTATGGTCATAATTTCAAAATGTTTGTATGAAGATGACATAAGAAAGACAGACATACGATAAATCCAGAAAGTTGCCAGCCAAAATTATATTTCCAAATATTTTAAAATATGTATACTTTATTACAAGTTAAGCACACAAACATTGTAGCATAAACGACCTCAACCATTTTGAAATATTTTTCTAGAAGATAACTTGGAAACAGATGCAGACATTTTTTTTTTAGTAATGAAAATCCTTTCAGAAAATTTTAATGTTAAATTTTGATAAACAAGCCAGCTAATTTGTGTGTTGTATTGATAGTACAATCTGTCCCAATTGAACATTTTTGAACTTTGTATTGGATGTTGTTTAAGAAGAATGTTTTATTTAGTTTTGTTTTTAGATTTCATGTGAAGGTAGGGGAATTTTATTTAGTTCTTTGTTTAGTTTTATTTATTTTAAAATTTAATTTGTTAATAAACATTTGAATATTTCCAATTGAATGTGATCATATGTTTATTTATATATGGTTCAAGAGATAGTAAGATATCATTTCAAACTCATTAATGTCTGTTGTCGGAATAATCAATCCTAAATTATCAATTACCTTTCTATTGCTATTATGCATTTTATTAATTTACTGGAAAAGGAAAAATGAAATACATATCTCTCTCCCCCTCTTTCTCTCTGATCCATTATCAATGACATTTAATTTATAAAATGAATACAAAATACTACTTGGGCTAGTTAGGGGAAACTAGTGGAAATGAGACATTTCAATGATTTATTCCAATAACATTTGATGATAAAGTGACATTTAATTGAAATCTAAAGCATATTTAATAAAGGAACTATTACACAATACAAAGGAGATTAGTGTTGTGCAATTGTATAGGGTGACACCATAGCATCAAAGTGCTATAGGAAAAATGGTAACAAGCAATTAGAGAAGAAAGTATTATTGAGGGCAGAAAAATCTAGCAGATATTTTTCAGCCATGAGTGAGTAAAGATGTGGAGGAAAGCAAGTTAGTTAACGGGATGAGAGGAGTGTGTAGAAATTGCTGTAGTGGGTAAATGTTGCTGAACGTAGAAATGATCAATTTGTTTCATCTAAATTGAGTTTAGTTTAAGAATTATGTTTGCCAAAGTGATAAATATTGAACCAGACAGTAGTCGGAGATAATAGAAACTGAACATTAATTTGTGGTGTGTAAGAAAAAGAACGATTGGAGTGGCAATCGAAGATGTGAGTGTTTGAGTACATAGAACTACAGCAGTCAAGTATGCTGATAAGAAATACATATTTTTAGAAATCATGGACAAATTTCAAATTAAATTTACAACGCCAAGATTGTATAGAATGTTAAGATAATTATTAAATTCTGTCTATTAAATATTAAAAAAAACAACAACAAAGGGTTCTATTTTAGGCTATATTTCACTGATAATATATTTCTGTGGTTTTAATGATTTCTCTGAATTTATGCATTACCGATGTAGGGCCTTAAACTGGTAAGTCATTTTCAGTCACGTGTCTGGATACCTTTGATCACATAATGTATATACATATATATGAATATTTATTTACATACAGGGCTTGATTTCTGGCGGAACGCGACATTGCGGTACATTGGGAACGAAATAGGAAACTAGTGGTGCTCAGACAGCACTACTTTCTCGTCCCTTTGTAACGGATAAGTAATTATATATTGCAATTTCCATGTATATCAACACATCTCGGTCAAGGAATGCTGACAAGAAAGCGTGCATGCAGTGATGGGCATTGCCAACAATGTACACATATTTTCTAATCAATTCTTACTAAAAAACATTTCTTGCCAAAAAGGAACTTTCTCAGTTCGCATTGTTGTGGTTTTATGAAAGTTCTTTTTAAGGCGTTCTTAATGGAACACTATTGCTTGTCTTGAATACAAACAATTGTTTTTCACCATGTCTCTAAACTGTTTTAAGTTCATTCGTAAATGTTTCATTTTCTAAGTTTCTTTCATCAGGACAACCAAACAAAACCATAATTAGTCTCTTCATAATTAATTAAATTAAACTGTTATACATGCCTCGGAGAGCAGAAAGCCCTCTAAGACTTTTCATTTTTGACACAATATTGAGAATGAAATACAAACAATTCCTAGAATACATGGTGGAGAGATTTATAGCTATTACGGCAAACATGTGGAATGGGGATCTAGTTCATGACTACCAAGAAACACAGTGAACTGAGAGAAGTAGTGAGAGAGAGAGAGTGGATTCACTTTTCGGTCTACAAGGGAACCTATGTTTTGGCCTTTCGACCAGAATAAAACACCCGATCTTTTAGACTTCTGTACTTCAAGGAAAATGTCTCCAAATATTATTGATATTGAAGAAAATTTTGATCTGAGCTCTTATCACTCTACTGCAATATTCACATTAAGTGAGAGAATAATTAAGAAAAGTGGGAAACCAGTATTAATATACAAGACTGACTGGGAGAGCTTCAAAATTGAACAGGAAAATAATAATTATCTCGGTACAGTTGGAAATGGAAGCTGAGAGATATACCTGTACAATCCTAGAAGCGGCATGGAATAGCACAAAACAAATTGCCTTGAGGACTAGGAAACAAAAAATTCCACCCATTCGAAAAATAAATGGTTCCTGGGCACGAAACAGCAAACAGAACTCAAACACCTTCTCACAATACCTTTCAGAGATCTTTCAGCAGAATGCTATACAAGTACATTCTCGCGTGAACACTGAAGAAAATCAAATAGTGAATCAGACACTGAAGAAATCGTATTTGTTACTAAAAACAATTTTTTAATGAGATAGGAATATAGTATTACTTCTCATGAACTCGTCTGATTTTCTATAAATTTTTGAATTATTGAAAGTTGGAAATGTTATTTACGCATACTCAGGCGGTCTTGTAGTGGTTACGTAAATTGCTAGCTAACTCCGAATGTCTGAATTCAAATAGTAACGTGGGCACATATTTTTGGGGGTTCAAATACTATTATATTACGCTGCAAATAATGCGAAAAAATACGCGCTGTTGTAGCACCATTTTCGATCAGATGCAATGCACCTCGATAGAAAAAACAACAAGAAAGAGATTTTCAGGTAAATCGCAAGCTTCTTTAGTCTAAGATCAGAATAGTACAACGCAACGCTTTTTCCGTACGTTTTTAACAGAAAACTTTCAAGACAAATTTGCAGCTTTAAAAAGAAAAGGCATAAAAGTCACTTCCCAGATTGTCGATAACACGAAGCGTGTCTGCAATTTCGTGCTTGGCGGTTTCACTGAGGAATGAGGCAAGAGAAAACACAATGAGGTAGATATAGCTATTCCTCCCCTTCTCTCCTGTCTTCGTGCTGATTGTCACTGCTCTTCCCTCTGTGGTTTGTTTACTAGGGCATGAACACTTTTTAAAACCTGCATCCCTTGGCAACTAGCAAACACTAATTTTACTAGAAATAATTTGCTCTTGATACTAATAGTAATCTTTTGTTGCTACAATAACTCCCTGCCTGTAAATGGTATCTAGTATGATTGCTACACGAATATAGACGTTAATAGATTCGAATAAAAATTTAAAATCAACAAACAAGACGAACAAGTGAATTGAATTTGTAATTTTCACACACGTACATGATGGAACTTCTTAATATCGCATTAATATGGCATTATTTCACGGAATATAATAAGTTAAACAGAGAAAAGTAATTCAGAAATTTTGTTTGTACTCAAGTCCTATTCAACAATTTGAAACAACACATATTAAAATAGAGCATTAGAAGTAAATTAATGAAATGAAAATATTTAAAAAGACAATTACAATTAGCCTAGCCATTCAAAGTGCTTGAAATCTCTTCATTAGTATTTGTGATTGATTTCTGATTAAATATTGTTTTACAGAACTGCTGGAATTGTTTCCAAAAGCTTTCTTTTTACTTAACCGTATACATACGTATATACGGAGTAATAAACGGTATAGGGAAAGTTGGGTAATTGTGCGTGAAAAACGGATTTTCGGCAGAAAAAAAATCATTACCGGGCCCTGATAACGAAAAGTGGATAAATCCAATTGCTAAATTAATAAGGGGAGAAAGAAAGCCTGAGAATGTCTGTTTTGTGGGTCATTGATATCGAAAACTCAATTGACTGCAAAACGTGTGTCTGTCATCCTGTCTGTCCGTCTGTGAAACTACTAACGTTTAAACCATGCATAGATTTCTTGTCAAATTCAAGAAAACGTTCATCTGGCGCGAGTCGAAGCTTTGAGATTTTGTAAAACGTTCTTTAAAATTTGGGGGTACTTTACATAAAGCACTCCAGACATTTTCAAAATTTTCTCAAAATCTTATAAAAGTGGCATAGGTCCAGTTAACTCTGAATTATCGCAAATTTTAAAAGTATGAAATTTTTCAGCGTTTTCCTACAACTACAAATTGAAGATAGAGATTTTCCCTTCAAATTAAATGTGTTGTCCATAATTAGTTCTTTCATTAAGGTCATGTACATTTTTTGAAACTTTTAATAGTTTTTGCGCAATATTGCGTGTAATATGTGCAAATTTCAAAAACAATATTTTTTTCAAAACGGCCCCAATTTTTTTAAAAACTTTTGGTAGGTATTGTGCGAAGTGTACTCTATAAGATGAAATAACCGCCATATTGCTCTATTCTTTTCTTTTTTCAAAAATTACAAAAATGTAATTTTTGACTTATCTCTCTCGTTGTTAATATTTATACTAGCGACAATTTGTTCACATTATTATAGTTATGAGTACATGTGTTTTAAATGATGTCCTATAAAGTTTCTCGAAAACTCAACCATCTTGTGTGAAATCTAGCTCAAAATTCCGCATTTTCAGAAACGGTCATACGCCATTTTCTTAAAAATGACTCCAAATTTTGTCTTCAAAGTTTTTAAACTGATAGTGCTAATTATACTCTTTAATATGACACAGTTCATTTCATTGTTTTGGAAATGAGAACTCGAAAAATTGTTATCCTAATTTTATAAGTCGCGCTACCATAGTCTGATATTTCATGTCATTTTCAATTAAATCTTCACCTTAAATAGTTAATTATAATAATTTTTTGTATGGTAGGACTCAAATGCAATGAATGAAATGACGCTAAAATTAAAATATGTTCTACTGAAATTCATGTTTATTATTTCCTGTACTTAACAAGTACTTTTTTAAATATTAACTAAATACAGTAAGTTTTTTAGTGTTTTAAGCTCACATTTAAAAATTTGGTATTTGATCACTAAATACTTTTACTTAAAACTATTATATAAAATATATTTCCAAAATATTTTTCCATCTTAAACGTAATTTTTGTTATTTGTTAAAATAAATAAAATAACATAGATTTTTGATTTCACTTTTTTTAGTTAAATTTTACACCTGAGTTCTCGTCTGGCAGCGGGGGTGAACGGTCGTGGCCGCTGCTCCGCAGTGCTTACCTTGTTCGTG